GGGGGGGGGGGGTCATATGACTGTTGTATAAATAACGTACAATTTCACTTAGAAAGCCTGGACAGATTTTCCTACCAGTCATACAATACATATTTTCATATGTAAGCATTAATATCCAGTCTTCTAATGTACATCTCCCAAACCTATGTCCTAGTTTAGGTTGTACAGTGTGTATTTGAAAGAGGCTTATATTTATTATTAGCTCACAATGTTTTTGGTTTCTTCGGACATTTTGATAACTTCATTTTTTGTTTTGTAAACTATTGGCAGATTATCTACATTCTAGACCAGAGTTAGGTCCAAATACACATACAAGCATCCTGTATATGCTTTAGGATGAAATAGCTACCAGCATGGCAGTGTTGGAATACTTACCGAATGATTGCCAGCCCATTCCTGACCTATAACACACAGAAGTTATTTTTAGTTCCTTCTGTATATACATGAACATATGTATGCAAAGATAATATAATGAATTTTCTCCCATTGTTTTCCATGACAGAAGGCAAAAGATGTATGAAATTATGTTCATTTTGATTTAAATATATTTTACTGTTTTCCCAACTTATACAGTTCTCTCCAAAACATGCACACAATGAAATGTTTCCCAATTTTGTATGTCAAATATCCGTCTTTTTATCTGGCCTTACAAAATCATCAATTGTGACCTCAAATGTACAGATAACTGACCAATGAAATTTAACTGATCCGATTCCCAAAGGTTGAAATAATATATATACATTCTCATTCTGTATTCTTTTGTTTACGACAAGCCCATGAAAAAAGAAGCTTTTCAACAGAAGAAAAATGTACATGAAATATTTCATAAAACACAAATCAAATCAACAAGAGGCTTCAGGGGCCTGAATAGATCACCTGTTACCTAATCAATTGTATACCTTTTTCTTAAGAATTTGTTCCATGAGCTCCATAGTACTACCCAGGGCCAATAGCGAGGCCTCGTATGTCGCCTGAAATAAAACAATCCATTTGGTACTGTATAAGTCTGTCAAACCAGTCTACTGGATTGGAAATCATTGTATGTCTATCTATGGTCTAAAATTTACCAAATGAAACAGTAACTAATTGGGGATAATTGACCTTAATTAATATCAGATCATGAACAATTTCAACTTCAAATTCTCGAAGGTCTTTAAACAAAATGAAGAATGACTGTCACCATCTCCTTTTTTTCAAATGACGACCATATTCAATAAAAAAAACACACACGACTTAAAGACATTTTTTAATTTCAAAATATGCATGTATGTGATCATACCCCTTAAACATCTTTTTATTTTCATAAAAGGGTTAAAGACATTATAAGTATACAGCACCTTTTAGATTTTTTCACTATTCTATACAAATAGTTTTTTCAAATGTGAACTAAAATTAAATTTTAACAATATTTATTATAACTTTGATTTGACTTTCCAGTACTCTTCGTCTCTCTGATACTACCCAAGTACATACCAGGACACTTTTACCCTCTTTGTCTCTCTGATACTACCCAGGTACATACCAGTACTCTTTGTCTCTCTGATACTCCCCAGGTACATACCAGTACACTGTAAATTTGTCTCTCTGATACTACCCAGGCACATACCAGTACTCTTTGTCTCTCTGATACTACCCAGGCACATACCAGTACACTTTGTCTCTCTGATACTACCCAGGTACATACCAGGACACTTTGTCTCTCTGATATTACCCAGGTACATACCAGTACTCTTTGTCTCTCGGATACTACCCAGGTACATACCAGTACACTTTGTCTCTCTGATACTACCCAGGCACATACCAGTACTCTTTGTCTCTCTGATACTACCCAGGGACATACCAGTACACTTTGTCTCTCTGATACTACCCAGGTACATCCCAGGACACTTTGTCTCTCTGATACTACCCAGGTACATCCCAGGACACTTTGTCTCTCTGATACTACCCAGGTACATCCCAGGACACTTTGTCTCTCTGATACTACCCAGGTACATACCAGGACTCTTTGTCTCTCTGATACTACCCAGGTACATACCAGCACTCTTTGTCTCTCTGATACTACCCAGGTACATCCCAGGACACTTTGTCTCTCTGATACTACCCAGGTACATACCAGGACACTTTGTTTCTCTGATACTACCCAGGTACATACCAGTACTCTTTGTCTCCCTGATACTACCCAGGTACATACCAGTACTCTTTGTATCTCTGATACTACCCAGGTACATACCAGTACACTTTGTCTCTCTGATACTACCCAGGCACATACCAGTACACTTTGTCTCTCTGATACTACCCAGGTACATACCAGGACACTTTGTTTCTCTGATACTACCCAGGTACATACCAGTACTCTTTGTCGCTCTGATACTACCCAGGTACATACCAGTACTCTCTGTCTCTCTGATACTACCCAGGTACATACCAGTACTCTTTGTCTCTCTGATACTACCCAGGTACATACCAGTACACTGTAAATTTGTCTCTCTGATACTACCCAGGTACATACCAGTACTCTTTGTCTCTCTGATACTACCCAGGTACATACCAGGACACTTTGTCTCTCTGATACTACCCAGGTACATACCAGGACACTTTGTCTCTCTGATACTACCCAGGTACATACCAGTACTCTTTGTCTCTCTGATACTACCCAGGTACATACCAGTACATTTTGTCTCTCTGATACTACCCAGGTACATACCAGGACACTTTGTCACTCTGATACTACCCAGGTACATACCAGTATATATACTCTTTGTATCTCTGATACTAACCAGGTACATACCAGGTAACTTTCACCCACTTGTTTAATGAAGTGAGTTACCAGTAAAAATCCATGTCTTTTTGGCCTTTCGCATGCAAAAAATTTAGCAGATATATTGTATATTGTGAACTAACATTCGTTCTTATGATAATTTTTTGTCATTACTAAAGGCAGACAAGGCAAAAGTTAAACTGTAATAAAAAAAATCCAGGTAAAAAGATATGCAGTGTCATGATATTCAATATCCAAAATGAATGTGATAGTATTTTATATTGTATAAACGCTTGAATTAATACATGGATTTGAAACATACCTGATGGATGTAAATGGAGTCATATTTAGCTGAAACTTTCTTGAGAGCCTCTTTAGACATGTCTACAGTCTCCTTCAGTTTTTCTAGGTGGGCCTCTGTGTGCTGTATTAACACTTGGTCCTCTGTTCCATACTGGGCCTGTTATAACAAAATGTCAAACAACATATATACAGAATGTTATTATAATAACTCATTACATAGTAACACTTCTTCGTCTGTTCCTTACTGGGCCTGTTATAACAAAATGTCAAACAACATATATACAGAATGTTATTATAATAACTCATTACATAGTAACACTTGGTCCTCTGTTCCTTACTGGGCCTGTTATAACAAAATGTCAAACAACATATATACAAAATGTTATTATAATAACTCATTACATAGTAACACTTCTTCCTCTGTTCCTTAATAGAGCTGTTATAATACAAAACCATAAATCATAACATCATGTCATAATTTTTTAAGACTTCATCATTTTGGTAAAAGTCTAAAAAAAAAAAAATTTTTTTTGGATATATCAAAACTTTAATTAACTTTCTAAAAACCTGTAAGTCAAATGGTTTTGTTTTCAATATTTCATTACCTCAATTCTTGTACATCTTTCTATAAGTCCCAGCTCAGAGCATCGGGCAAATGATTCTGTTATACGTTCTGGCTTCTCTGGGAAAGCTGGGTCCCATAAACATTCGAATGTAGCCATTCTGTCATCATACACAAGTCCAGTACTGTAACAAATCAAAGTATTGGTCAGACGCGAAAACAACATCTATCAGCAAGATCTCTGACCGTCGGACAAGAAAACAACATCTTTCAGCAAGATCTCTGACCGTCAGACGCGAAAACAACATCTATCAGCAAGATCTCTGACCGTCGGACAAGAAAACAACATTTATCAGCAAGATCTCTGACCGTCGGACAAGAAAACAACATCTATCAGCAAGATCTCTGACCGTCGGACAAGAAAACAACATCTATCAGCAAGATCTCTGACCGTCGGACAAGAAAACAACATCTATCAGCAAGATCTCTGACCGTCGGACAAGAAAACAACATCTATCAGCAAGATCTCTGACCGTCGGACAAGAAAACAACATCTATCAGCAAGATCTCTGACCGTCAGACAAGAAAACAACATCTATCAGCAAGATCTCTGACTGTCAGACAAGAAAACAACATTTATCAGCAAGATCTCTGACCGTCAGACACAAAAACAACACCTATCAGCAAGATCTCTGACTGTCGGACAAGAAAACAACATCTATCAGCAAGATCTCTGACCGTCAGACACAAAAACAACATCTATCAGCAAGATCTCTGACTGTCGGACAAGAAAACAACATCTATCAGCAAGATCTCTGACCGTCAGACACGAAAACAACATCTATCAGCAAGATCTCTGACCGTCAGACACGAAAACAACATCTATCAGCAAGATCTCTGACTGTCAGACAAGAAAACAACATCTATCAGCAAGATCTCTGACCGTCAGACACGAAAACAACATCTATCAGCAAGATCTCTGACCGTCAGACACGAAAACAACATCTATCAGCAAGATCTCTGACCATCTGTATCTCAGTTTATATAAATTAAACTTGTCAACAAGAAATTAAGACTTCCAAATTTTAAGTTTTTGTTTCAATGAGACACTGTTTTCAATTTTAGAGATCTGGGACCACTTGTATCAAACATCTCGAAGTTGAAGAAAATCTCGAGCAATGACTGTCTATGGGAGATCTTAGACTTGAGGGAATCTTCAGCAATGACTGTCTATGGGAGATCTTAGACTTGAGGGAATCTTCAGCAATGACTGTCTATGGGAGATCTTAGACTTGAGGGAATCTTCAGCAATGACTGTCTATGGGAGATCTTAGACTTGAGGGAATCTTCAGCAATGACTGTCTATGGGAGATCTTAGACTTGAGGGAATCTTCAGCAATGACTGTCTATGGGAGATCTTAGACTTGAGGGAATCTTCAGCAATGACTGTCTATGGGAGATCTTAGACTTGAGGGAATCTTCAGCAATGACTGTCTATGGGAGATCTTAGACTTGAGGGAATCTTCAGCAATGACTGTCTATGGGAGATCTTAGACTTGAGGGAATCTTCAGCAATGACTGTCTATGGGAGATCTTAGACTTGAGGGAATCTTCAGCAATGACTGTCTATTGGAGATCTTTGGCTTGAGGGAATCTCGAGCAATGACTGTCTATGGGAGATCTTAGACTTGAGGGAATCTCAAGAGTTGAGATGCTTTATACAAGCGGGGCCAGTTTCCTAATGTATTGAATCAAGATAGGAAACGGTACCTACTTTCGTATGTACTCCATTTTTACTAATTTTGAATGAATGAATTCATACTATAACTCAATCACCCCTGAAATTTCATAATGAAGTACACTTTGTATTCCAATCTTTGAATTGGAAGAGTTCAAAGGTGTTTTCAAGGGTGAATGAGTTTATAGTTCATACTTTATAATTAGTATGATTAGGTTTGGAGGCTTTTTAAATTGCTAAGTTCATTGTATCATGACTTTTAATTTTACTGTATTTATATGTTTGTCAGGAAAACAAAAATGAGATTCATATAGATGATACAAATTAAATGTCACCTCTACATATTTTTCGAAAACCAAATCACAAGCATCCTGGATACTCTAGAGGTGACGCTCACTTACGCTCTCTGCACCCCTGGAATATGTCAAAATTGAAGGCACGTTGCTTGCTTTTTGATTGGTGTTAGGTAAAAAAAACTGACCAATCACTATACTGATGCCTGTCCTTTGATGATTACAGTGGAGTCATTTTTACCATTACGCTACCGAAAGATAATTTTGATGTACATTAAAGGATCTAAATAGTCTTTTTGTCTCATCCACAAGGTTGGGCACACTGCGCCTTCCATTTTATCACGACATATTCCAGGTGTGCAGAGAGCGTAACTCCTGGAGTACCGAGAATCAAAAGTAGTCAATTAGGTACCTTGTCTCAGGCAACTCCCAAAACCAGCTCCTCACAAAACTAAGTATGTTGGAAACAAGGGTAGATAACTTATTCCACATGATGAAAACGAATTTGTAACACGGTTCAATTATAATAACTTCACATATCACAGAGTTTGACCGTTGGTCATATATTGGTCAAGAGTTAGAAGCAGATGAGCTACATCATCAAAACTATCAGTCATCAACACAGAATTTCCATTCATCTTTTCCAGTGTAGAATGCATCATATATCCCATTTAAAACGTTTACGATTGTTTTGTACGGAGTGAAGCTTGCAAGTGCTTAGGATTTAATTAAAACACCAGACACACCACTGCAAGTTCAGTCCAAGCTTAACAGGTACACAGAATGTCCTTGGTTGATGCTAGCTTATGGTCTAACACCAAAAGGATTCACCCAAAAGAGTTTTCAGTAACTATAAAATGTTGAAAATACACAATTCAATTCAAACATCCATATCAGGAGAAATCTTCTAGCAATAAAACATTTAAATCATCCTTGAACAAAATCCCCTATCCTAAACTATCTGACTGTGTGACTGGAGGTACAAGGACATTTCTGACTGATAAGCAAAGATCCTGTTAAAACCGTCACCAATGATAAATGATATTTCCTGAACTGTCTCAAGCTACAAGGTCGTTATCATTGCCGAAGGATTTCCAGTACAAGTTTTATTATAAATGTCATGTCAGGGTAAATATGAGATTTTGTAGTTTACTGATAACATATGTTTTTGGGTCCCTTTTCTGTATCCTGCTGACAAGGCAACAGGTAAATATCAATTTACTACGTCAACAAGACCTCAAACTGCAATATGTCCAAAAAAAAAATGAACTTCATTTTTACATCATTTTTATAATGAGCTTAATGTTTTTGCATACATGTCTGGGTAATTTGAAATATTAAACTTTCTTCTACAAAAAGTATGAAACTTATATTCATCACTCTTGTTGGCCACAATGGGAGTTTGTAGCAGTTTTATTATTAGAGGGAAATGCTGTGGCCAAAGAAAACACACGATGATGGGCAGGTTATAATTACACTCCATACTATTTCATGTCTGACCAGGGAAGCAAACCCTGGCAATTTTTAATTGATGATTGCACCAAAAATGACCCCACCAGACAATGCACACCCAACCACCTTAGGGATTTGTGATATCAACAAATTATTGTCATAGAACACAATGAATTCAGTTTTTAAATTACCAAATACACAATGTTAAAACAGGACTTAGTTGTATGATATGTATCAAAATTCATTAACTTAGGGGTATATGCTTCGTTACAGATACTATGTACCTTCTTTACCTCCTTTCTAAAAGAGCTACAGTCTAAGAAACAGTGTACAAAGTACAATTGTTTTACTAATGGTAATCTTTGTAATCTTTATTTGGTTACTGGATTTGGATCTTGACTAAAATAAGGACACTACAATTAGATTCTTGGTTATGTATAGGAAGTTGTTTATAGACTGTCATACATTAGACCCCTGTGACATTGAAAAGTTTGACAATGGCATTTATTAGAACAAAGCTTAAACCCCTAAACCCCAGCATCCTACAGGCCAGTTAACACATTTCATTTGACCACTGTGACCTTAAATGTGGTTCACATTCTAACAATTTTGATAGCCCTATATGCCAGCATGCAACGGGCTAAATATCATCACCCTGGCACTGTTGGTTGTTGAGAAGATGTTCTTTAAACATTTTGAGAAATTCAACACCTGTTGCCATGAAAGTGGGTCACGGTCGTTATTTGAACAAACTCAGTGGTCCTTCATCCTAGTATGCTCCATGACAAATATCATCCTGTTAGGCCTCTTCGTCATTCAAAATTAGTTAGAGCTTTAACAAATCTGGTCTCTGTAACTATTACAGTAGGTCAAGGTCTTTTATTGAACAAACTTGATAGCCCTCATCCCAGCATACAACTGGCCAAATATCATCACCCTAGGCTATCAGTTAATCAGAAGAGGTTAATATTTTAAGTACAAACTTGATGCCTGATGATGGATGGACAATGGATACGCTGCATCTCTTGGCCATGATCTCCAGAAATCTTGATTATACAATGTAAGGGAATTATCCCAGGCTCAAATGGTCAGTATGTTTTAACATTTATACTTTTTGCAAAATTTCCTGGATTGATTTTGAAATGTTCAAATTCCAAAAAGTCACCAAAACCTATAACAATCTTTGTGTAAATTTAGTGGAAATATCAACACCAGGACTCTTTACATTCAGACCTGTATACAGTATGTAAGTGGTGGGTCACGGCTCTACTTCAATTTAGGCCTGCATAAAGTACAGTAGTAAGGCAAGTAGGCGACGGGTGAAATCTGTCCTTTGATATTTCATTAAGTTAATCAACAGCTTGATATTAAATTATCTAGATCACCATAGAAACACGGCTTGATATTAAATTATCTAGATCACCATAGAAACACAAGTCACTCGCAGAACCACGTTATCTAGATCACCATAGAAACACAAGTCACTCGCAGAACCACGTTATCTAGATCACCATAGAAACACAAGTCACTCGCAGAACCACGTTATCTAGATCACCATAGAAACACAAGTCACTCGCAGAACCACGTTATCTAGATCACCATAGAAACACAAGTCACTCGCAGAACCACGTTAACGTGCTACAGATAAAAGGGTGTAATGACATCCTCAGATAAAGCTTGTATCAGGATGTCTTATCTGATT